CTGAGAGCTGACAGGCTCGTCATCCATTCCACGTCCATGAGGGCCTGCTGGGAAGTAGCGGATAGCATTGTGATTGCTTGCTTCTGACTTACCTTTCGTTTCAAACTTACGCTTTGCGACACTTTCCTTACGCTAGCTAAGACAAGACACGTGTTATTTCAAGTTATAGGACCCACTCTCAGCAAGTAGGGTAAGGCTTGACCATTCCTATCGCAGGCTCCCAAGAAAAAATCTCAAAATTGATGTGAAAAATTACAACGGATCAGGCTTCGAACACGCTCCTGGACAAAGGTAAACAACCGACTTGGCCACAGCGGTGGAGCGCCGTCCCAATGTGATTTAATAATCATTATATTTAATTGGTTTTCATATAAAGAAAGTAATTCCTCTTTAAGTGCAGAAGATCTCATTCATAAGCCTTGCGCAGGGAGGTGTGAACGCAAGATCCTCAGGTGATTGTTCACAAGTGCAATATTATATCCAGTACTCCTTCGGGGAATATTTGTTACCCACCGCGGGTGGGATGTGACAAAGTCTTTTTCCGGAATTCTCACTCGCTTTATCTGGGCGTTTGGTTTTTCCAACCGACCTACAATTCCCAGTGAGCCAAAGACACGGGATATTATTAACCCAAGCGCCCCTTCACATCTGCAGCGGTGTCGCGTGGCCCTGCCAATTCGAGGCTTCCCGCCAGCCCCATCAGAAATGATGTAAAATACCCCTGGGCCGCATTTTGCCCTGATAAAGGGGCGCGTGGGCTCTCTTTGGGCTTTCCCAGTTCCACCCCACAACGAAAACCAGAGCTTTTTTTTCTTTTTAAAGGACATCCGGGAAGAAATGGTGCATTTGGGGTCAAATAAAACCGCGGATAAGCCATAAACCTCGCCAGGGCGCTGGCAATTGTGGTCCGGTGGGGCCTTTTGGTTCCTTACCCTCGCGGGCGCCCGGGCGTGCAAAAAACCTTTGCCCCTGACAGGGTAATTTCCACCCTGTCACAGCGAAGCATACCACCCACCTTTTTGAGAGGTTCGGCCGGTGTATTTTGAACACCCCCGACTTCTTTATGAGCCATTTTTCACCAGCTGTTATGCGGCATATGCGCCCTCGGCCTCGCATCGTCAAAATGACGGGGCGCCAAATGACGTTTTATACCTCATCAAAACAGATCCCCACCTTTGAGGCTAGCCGGTGCCAGGCCCTGCCCCAAGCAGGCAGGACACCCCGCACCAACACGCCGTGGGTTTATTTTCCTGTTCCTCGTATCTTCTCGACTCTCGCCGAAGGCTCCGCACCATCGGCCATCATCTCAGAGCACGTTCATTACTGCTTAATTTCTATGTGGAAGTGGATCCCTTTCGGTTGGTATGTGTTTTGCTTTTGATGCTTTTTGTTTTGTTTATTTTGGGGGTATTTTGTTCTTCGTTTCGTTGAGCCGGCCCAGTGGGGAAACACGCGCTTACGGAACCGGGCAGCCGTTTCCCCTGATCCAGGATCCCGTAGACCTACTTGCCCCATTTTGGATAAACAGCACAGGGGGGAAAGCACGTTTCGACGGCATGAGATCAACAAAAATATAGAGGGGAGATGAAGCTGAGAGGGGAAAAGGGGCCACTCCTGGGCCAGGGAGGTGGTCCTCATTTTTATCGGGGAAAGCCATTGAGAACAGAGCCTTTCCACTGCAAGCAGGAATTTGGCCAACTTCTGCATAAAGCACAACTTCTCCACGCCGTCCCCATCCACCCCAAAGTGACATCGTAGACTCTTTAATGCGGGACAGCTCAATAGGTGCATGCTCGTCTCTTCGCACTGTCCATGTTGGCTTGGTTTTACGACGTCCGGCCTGAACCTATGGCTGGCTATGCGGTGCCTCGTGAGTCCATGTTTGCTGTGGCACTGGAATCCGCACGTGGGGCACGAGAAGGCAGAAAGAGACAGCTCATCAGGAGCATCCTCATGGAGCCTCCGGCGTTTCACCGTTACAGGAACCCCGTGGTCCTCATCAGAGCGGCGGCAGTGCGTTCCAACTGAACCAATAGCGGCAAAACATTTCAAACACACCAAGCATTGTGCCCCCCTCGTTCTTTAGCCGGTCGTCGGTCGGAAAGGATGCCTCTGTTCCCGTACGCTTTTTAAGGTGGGGCAATTCTGCTTCATCCTTTTCCTGCTTCAGGGCAGCGGTTTGCAAGGCAGGGGGTTCTTCTCTCTTTCTCTCCCTCTCTCTCGCCAAGGTTTTTTGGTGTGTCTTTGTTTGGCTCCTCCGTCCTATTATTCTTTCCGTTGGGGTGCTTGCGTTTCATGTGGGTTGCCATTCCCCAAGCATGGCGAGCAACCTTCTTGCATATCATAAAGCATGGCTTGGGTGGGGGTTCTGCTGCGCTTGGGGGCTCTTGTGGGGAGCGGTGCTTGGCAGCGATTTTGGGGGCTGCCGATGGCGCGCGTGGCTCTGGCGCTGTGCGATGCCGCAAGCCTGCCGCCGTAAGGCTCCCCGAAAATACGGGGCGTGGTGCCGCGACGAGCTCGCCGGCATCACCGAGGCGCTGTGGGGGTAAATTCTCCTCTTCTTCACTTGGGGCCGCTCACGTAAGGTGTGTGCCTCGCAAAAATGCCTTGGTCCTGGAAAAAGGGGTGTGCCTCATTATGCCGCGGCGCCTTGTGGACTGACGGCCCTTCGTTTCATTACTGGCCCCCAAAAACCTGTATTGCCGCCGCGGGTGGGGCGAAAAGCAATGCGCAGTCCGGGAATCGAACCCGGGCCTCCCGCGTGGCAGGCGAGAATTCTACCACTAGACCAACTGCGCTTGTTGTCGAGTGCTTAACTTTTGGAAACGGTCGTACGCAAAGTACAGAATTCTGACATCAATGGCAACCTTTGTGGAATGAAAAAAATTTTTTTTTTTAATAATAATCCAGGTTGATCAAGAAGAAAAAAAAAGCTTTTCACATCAACACTTTTAAGTGATGCCAACCATCTGATCGTGCCACGAACATTTGGTAATTTTCTTATGATTGGGGAAGCTAAGAGCCGAAAAACGTGGCAAGAAGACCTACTACGCTTTATTGCTTTGTATTGTCGCGATGACCCAACCCTCAACTCCTTATATTGTGAAAGATTTGTTTTTTTGTATTCTTAGGGCTAACGCCCGAGCGCGTTGGTTTTGCCTGCAAAGGTAATATAGAGAACTTACTCGCCTTTTTGGAGAAGGTCTGATCACTGAAAGGGAGTGATAGGACAACTACAGTTGTTTCTGGAGTGTGGGGTTCTTCGGGATGAGTGCCTCAGTACACATCTGGGTCTGTGTGATTGCATTTCGACATTTGCTGGCGTGTTGGGAATGCAGGGTTGTTGGCGCTTTCCCCTGATTCATCAGTGAAAAGCGCTCACTACTCCCTGTGAATAGGAAAAATAAAATCCTCCCGGTACAAGTCGGAGAAAATGGAACCGGGAACGGACATTGATCCGAAGTGGTAAAATAGGAAAGGAAAAAGGACCCTTACTGTGCAAGGTTTCGTGGTGTGCGTTTGCCCTTCTATTGGGTGACTTGCCCGCCGGAAGCACAAAGCTAAAAGCGTGCTGCAGTTGGTCGCTGGTGAGGTAAATGATGATGAAATCCTGGAGGGAGCCGATTCGGTTAGAACTTGTTTTGGTCATGAAAAGAAGAGGGTATATCTTCTTCTTCAAACTGTTTGGATACTGTTTTCGACTGGGTCTGACATATGGGTTTAAATTTATTGTTTTTGCTTTTTGATTTGACTCGAATAGGTCGAACGTCTAGCCGAAGAGATGTTTCGGATCTTTTTTTAAAGTAATTCCATTCTGGTAATTGCTGATGGAGTACTTAAAAAAAAAAATCGTGATGCGGGCTTCCTGAGGAGTTACATCACATTATAAAACTGATTGAATTCTGGAAAACACTTCTATGATGTGATCTGCTCTGCAGCGAATAAAGTACAATTCTGTTCTTGTGTCAACTATAGAAGAAACAATCGAAGGGTGTCACACATTAATAGGCCGTTGACCCATTTATAATTCTGATTGAAAAGATGCTTTCTTTCATATACAAAGATATTTTTTGAGATTTTTATTGGACTTCATTGACAGAGGCTCTCTCATGCTGGTATCCTATACAATTCTGTAACCGTTGCTGACTATGTTACTGATTCTCATTGATTGTGCTGATACAGAAGACAAGGTCGCCTATTCTATTGACAGGGAAAATTCTATTGTGGAATAGATGGGTGTGGAAACCAAGGTTACCAAGTTTGCGTGAAAGGCTCTCTTGAGAATTGTGGCTGGTGATTGTCAAGCCTCGCTACCTTGGGTGGAGCAATGAAATATTGTATTCAACTGTAAAGAACACCATATTCAGTGAGCTTAAAGAACTTTTTGTCTCAGTGGAGTTGTTTGGGTTTTGTGTTTTTAAAAAAAATTTTGATATGGCCTCATGTTGTTCACAAAAAAGAAAACATTTGCCTTGTTTTACTGCCCGTTAAGGCTTTACAGAGCGAGGCGTCCCACAAAAAAAAGGAAAGCTCTTAATAGGAACGACACACGGAAGCAGCCTTCTTGTGATCCTAGAGGGTACCAGGTGCACCTTGCTGCTAAGGTTTTTCCGATACTACTCCGCAAATTCGATTGTAAAATTGTGGGTGTTTTTTTGTGAACAATTCATCTTCATTGAGAATGGCATAGATGCTTTTCTTTCGATTGGGATGCATTTCAATCAACGACTATTAAGGCTTTTCATCCTTCTCGATGCAGTAGGCCTGATTCTGCTATGAGTTCTCGTGGGCTGAGCCAGCCATCTGTGTGGCAGAATGTCCGTCTCCATAGCTGTGAACACGATATTCAAAGGAGGAACTACAATATTTAGCTGGTGTTCTTTTTTTTTGGTGGCGATGTAAGGGTATTTGACTTGCACTGTGGAGAGTTTTATGTGTGTTTTCAGAGCATTCAACAGATAATGGTCTGGCAGCGGAAAGAAATGTAAGGGAAGCAGCTGATTATGTCTTCAAAAACGGGAGGCGTGGAGAGCAATCACAGCGATTCTGACCGTAGAGTATATAGAGAAGTGCTCAGAAACTCTCTCTTCGTTAGGTTCAAAAATGATACCAGTAGACAATTTTGTGGAATCACTTCATATGAAGATGGGAGTGATGTGAGCTATGCTAGTAGATCATTCCCGTCATCGGTAAGGGAGGTCGCTGTTGAAAGGTGTCTGCTGACTATTGTAGGATGAGGAAAACGCTCTCTATAATTGTTAGGGAGTAGTGTTCAATCGGTTCTCTATGCATCTATAGTTTTATGAGGTGTGTACCGCGCTTCCAACACAAAAAAAGCCGAGAAACCCGGTATGCGCTTTCATCTTGAGATATATCGCTTATTTATAGCGCGGGTACCGTAAGCAGTGTTCGTTGCTGTATATTAAAATTGATGTAGTGAGAACCTGTTTTATGTCGTGCGTGCGTCGCGTGATTGTATAAGAGTGCGTTGGAGGATTCTATTGGAACTGCAAAGAATTCCTCATTCTCTGGGGATGATTCCCTAATGTGGCTTTTGCACAGTTTTTCACGCAATTGCGTGGCTTGGAGTGTGGGATTGAGTGCCATGTGCTGTTTTGTCCAGGCCACACAAGACGTGGGCCCTGTCAACTGTCAACGCAGCAGGGAGCAAGGATAATGCGCTGCTCAGTCGGCCATAACTTTCCTTCCTTATAGGGACCGGTGCCTTTTTTCGCGATTCCAGTGGAATTGGAATGCTCCATATTAACTTCTGCTGTCGCCATCACGGCTTCAGAGAAGGATACGGGGAGTTTTCTAGCAGGTGGCCGCGGCACCTCTTTTCTTTATTTCCCCGCGCTAACGGCAACGCAAAGAGGATAAAAGAAGCATTAAAATTTATATTTGTGATAAAGAATGAGCAATAACAAAGTCTGAAGAAAATGGTGGCAGAACTACTTTTGGCCGATCATATCTCCCACTGCCACCGTACTTTTTCAGGAACATCATAGGAATGATCTGGTGGGTGCTTTACTCTGGGTGTTGCAAGGAGACTCTGATCGAAAAAAGAAGTTCTCCATGATGCGCTTTACCGTTTTGCGCGAGACGATGTCCCTTCGGCAGTCAGTGGCAAAAAAACAGCCGATTCAACTCATGACAAGTTCGGCAAAACCGCATATTCCATAATCTTGCTAATCCTTTTTCACTCCCCCATTTGGTTTTTCATTTTCTCCTTTTAAATGAAGGCCAAGAAACTGTAGGTGAAATAGAGCGTGCGTCAGGGGCGACAGAATGGCGGATGAGCAAGAGGGCGCCCTCGAGCGTCTCAAGCGGTTCTATAGGCACTACGCGCTAGCCAAGGTGGCGACGGCTGAACTCACCCTTGAGGCTTACTCAGGCCGAGAAGAGGCCATGTTTAGAGCTCTGGAGATAAAGTATGGCCCTGAGGCGGATGTTACTCCGTTGAACGTTGCGGCCGCGATGGCACCCCTCACCGTGCCGTCTTCACCCTTTTGCCTACGAGAGGGTGATGCTGGTTGGATTGAAGAGGCTAATGACATGAAATACGATGATAAGAGCTGCCCAGTTCGGCGCGTTGTTAAGGACAATAAGGACCCATGGGCGAGTCATTACGAGAATGACACTTTGCTGTTGCCACTACACTTTGATGTTACCCGGAACCGTCTGGAGCGTATCTACGCTTATTACGCTCCGGAGCTCTTAGAGAGTGTCGACCTCACTCTGGCAGCCTATGACGGGCGTGAGAATGTGCTGTTCCGTCTACTGCAGAAAAAATACGGCCCAGAGCCGAGTGCTTTCACACCGATCTGTCCGCATGTGGAAGCCGACGAGAACGTAAGGCAAACGGCCGAGCTGCGAGTGGAGCTGTGCGGCCTTAACTCCCTATCGTCATACGACGCAGTGGCTGCTTTGTTGAAGGTTGGAATACCACGCGATCAGGTGCACGCAACGCTGATGGCTTATGGCCCTGGACGGGAGTGGTACGCCGCGTCAACGGTGCTTCTCGTTGCACTCATTGGAGATGCCCTCTTCGACACTGATGAGAAACGGCGAATCGTTTTTCCGTACAACAACCTTGAGCGTCTTACAGGGGCCATCCCCAGTGCTCTTGATCATTTGGCCTTTGAGCATATTCTTGCCTACCGCCGTGTGTACCTTGCCTTCATTTCCGGAGCACGCCATCTGCGGGCGGAAGAGGTGGCCATGCGGGATATCATGTGGAGCCGCTTCCAAGCGGCGACCGGCGTTGTAGCGTACAAAGATGTGATTCTGCAGGAGGCTTTGCGCTGCCTACCTGTGGTAGAGACGGAAAAGCGGGTCACAATTATAGAGGATGAGACCAGTTCCAGAACGGCGCTCGGCGCATGGTTCGGGCAGCAGCACCACGACCTGGCTTTGACTTTACTCGGTGGCGCCAATCGCAGAATGCTGCGCTGCGCACCATACAGTACGAGGATGCGGTCTTCAGGGGCCAAAGTAACGGAGCAGTGGTGCCTTGCAGAGAGTTGGACGAAACGTGTCAAATCACCGCCTACGACGTCGGAAAGACAAATAGAGCAGCGACCTGGGCGGCCACATGTGTGGAAGCACCCCGCAGGCAAAAGTGTTTCTCCATGTTCCCCCTGGAAGCCATCAGGGGTCAGCATCCCCCGACATGACAAGATGCAAGGGCACGGCGGGCTTAGAACTTATACAGATAATAAAAGAACACCCTGCGAACGTACCTCACAAAAGAGTTGTCGAGGACACGGACATCCAGTCTCGAGCCATACCCCAAGTGCGTCCAACACAAATACAGCTGAGCTTTTCAACCGCCGTGCAGCGCGCTTTGTCCCGCGTGGGGTGTTTTCTTCTTTACCTCATTCCATATGAGCTGTAGTTCGCTACTGCACAGAAAACAAAGTCAGGTTGATACCACAGTTGCAAACACAAAACTTCCGGCAACCTCCCCTTTCAAAACAGAATAGTCTATACCTTACCTTCCTCTATTAAATAAAAGAGAGAGAGAGAGAGTAAGAGAGACATTGTATCTGAATACCATTTCGAAACCCCATGTCCCTGGTTCACGTAGAAGGGGGACTTCCAGTAACCTCAAGACCTTCCTCTTATAAGGAAGTTAAGCTTGCAGTCCAACTGACGAAAAGGAGGTGCTGAAAGCGCCCTTAACCCGCCTCCCGCGCGGAGGCGGAGAGGGTTGGGTTGGGAAGGCGTTTCAAACTTACGCTTTGCGACACTTTCCTAACGCAAGATAAGAAGACACGTATTATGAAGGATCATAGGATCCCCTCTTAGCAAGTAGGGTAAGGCTTGACCATTCCTTTCGCAGGCTCCCAAAAAAAAAAGGAAACTTACATGCGATTCGCCTACCTTACAAGTTTCACAACACTAAAGGGGAAAAAGAACGAAGTATAAATGTTAGCAGTGCCTAAACATCCATCCAAAGATTAATCATTAGCAGCCCCTATCGATCTAGGTTGTTCATCCCCTTTATAGCACAATTTTGATGATACTCTGAACTCATTCCTTCTGCGAAACAACACATCCGCTCTCTTGCTCTGTT